AGAGAGAGAGAGAGAGAGAGAGAGAGAGAGAGAGGCATGTTGCTTTATGAGGCGAAGTTGTTGATATAAGCTGCTGAAATGGATGTAGGTAATGGTGCTCAAATTTTGAAGCCATGCATCACACGCCACTACCCATGCTAAGCCAGTGACTTCCTCAGATTGATGAAACATTTCCAAGGAATGTTTTAATTGTTGTCAGTCACCATACAGCTATGAGTGGCTGTGCTACTTTTACAGGAGCATTCCCTTGGATGAAATATTTTTCCTAATATGGAATTCTTGGATCCACTTTAAAGTCATTATAATAACGATAATAATAATAATAACAATGATAAGTAAATTTTGAGTTCTCCAGTGTACTGTCTTAAAAATTGGATGGTCTCTATTTAATCTTTGATAATTTTTTGGAAACACGCGTGGTTTATGATTTTCCATTTTTGAAGGGGGTTCCTAGGTTGCGGAGGTTACATCCCAAAGTTTGTAGTTTTCAAAATACTGCCCAAGGGAGTGAATGTATAATATGCTCCTGTGAAAGTGTATGATCTTTTAGCAATGTATAGTATATTCATTTTTGTTGTGGTCCTAATTAATTGACGCTTAGTTTAGTTCAAAATCCATGGTCCAAATCTTGGGATGCTTAAATCAATAATTTCATCTTGAACATTATGGTTGTAAAAAAAAAAATTAGGACTTTAAATTTTAAAAATAGTATATACTGCAACAAATCATCTAGACTTTCCATTTCATCCTAAAATTAAGTGTTTGCAAATCTGCAAGATTTGTACCAGTTTATTAATTTCAATTTTTATTGTCAGCGGTGAATATTGATTTTAGAGCCATCATGGAGATTTTCATAAAGCCAAGGCCATATAGAAGACCACTAATTACTTTATTTCCAAGTCTTTCATTAGGAGTTATGGCACACAAATATTTCATAGACTTCGTCTCCAATCATAGACACTAACACGAAGATGGATCATCGAAGACCTTCTGGACTTAAAAGGTTGAATTTATTGTCTGTTTTGTACACATAATTTAAGTGTCTGGAGATGTCTAATCATCAAATCTTGATTAAAGAAATGAGAGCAAGACAACAACAAAACCCCGTATTAATTATGACATAATTAACGCATTTGGCACTATCTTGTGATATTGTGTTTTGTTTACTTTTAGTTGTAACTCAAGATCAGATAACTATAGGTCTCCATTTCTCCAGATACATAAATTATATAAATGAAGATAAATAAAAGGATAAAGTTTGTATAAGGTTGCAACCTTTTAATGTTGTAATGTAGAGTTATGCACCTCAAAAATCCAACGGAAAAGGTAGTTTTAATGTTGAAAAACCCTTTGATTGATCATCTCAACATCGAGATGTATGACCATGAAAAATAAAAAGATTGTAAGTTTCATAAATAGTGCATGTTACAACATATTATCTACACCATCTATTTTCAAGATTTTCATATGTTTATAGATCTATTTGATTTTAACCATTTTTAAAATTTAAAATTTTATAATTAGATATAAAAATAGATTTCGAGACAATCCTAAGAACATTTTACATCAAAATTATATACCATGATAAAATTTGAAGGTGCACATTACCTCGACATGTACAGATGCATTTATATGCCAATTGCACCCAATTATATATGTGGAGATAAATAAAAAGATCCACACTAAAGTTTGTGATATTATTCATATACATTTAAGCGTAATGTAACTGCCTACAGGTACTTCATGAGGCTGCTTGATTGGAATTGAGGGGTGATGCAAGGCCATCATCCATATCCACTAAGAGGTATTCTCTCTCTTCTTTACTTTTGGCCCATAGTATGAGGTAAAGGCCTCCCACTATTAATGCTGCCCCAATAATACTGCAAAAACACACAAAATCAATAGAAAACTATGAGATCCCAGCACTTAAGAATTTAGAAAGAGAAAATCTCTAAAACAAGTGGATGCTTGCTACCTTCCAAAATGAGGGATTTCACCAAGAAATATTGTCTCCAGGGGAACAACAAAAAATATAGAGAGTGGTGTGAACATCGATACAAAAACAGGTCCTTTGAGGTGGGAGCACTTGAAAATTAAATAAGAAGTCCCACCATTGATCACCCCCTGCATAATCACATACAAGTATTATTCATCTCTCTCCCTCTATCCTTTTCTCTAGTGCGAAGACACATAAAGAAAGGGACAGTGAGATTGTTTTAAGTATAAAAAATCATAATCACCCACAACTGTCGGAAGTTAAATTAGGAATCTAGTGGTGAACTATTCGCTGCATTCCAAGTCTAACAAATTTTGTGTGGGGTGTGTGGAGAATTGAACACTCCAGCAGTCCAATTTTACGTCTAACAGCTTGGGGTGTCCATGACCTTTGCAAATGAACAATAAAGGTTATATCAGAATGAGAAAATAGAACTAAGAATGTAAAGTACCTAGGAAAAATACTACCACCATCATAAACTTATACTACTCTTATGAGGAAAAATATACCAATATAGTATTTGAATTTCAAACAGTGAACAATTCATAAGCCATTAGACATCAATGATGAATAGTGAATTTTTGTCATCCTCCTCACAAAGTTTGTCACTCAAGAAAACACTTACTCCAATAATCAAATGAAGTAACGACATGCTCGAATATGCTACAACAATGAAATATAGCAGCCCTTCAATTACCTCCTGCATATGTGATTCTGTAAAGGGATTTTATACTGTTCCAATTACCTCCAGCTTGTAATTGTGTTAATATATTGTATGTTGGAAGACTGTTTATCAATTAGTGCAAGATGATCACAATCACCTAAAATGATAGAGCTCAGGTTGTGTCATTTTTCTCGCCAAAGATCAAGAAAGTTCTGTTGGACTTTGAGTGCCGCCAATGGTGCAATCCGTCTTCCTGCATACTTTCTCGTCTTAAAATTAGGAAAAAAATCATAAATACGAGCCCCATGTACAAATTTTTGACCTGTAGGGACATGGGCTCTGTCTTGATTGGTCGGTGTTAACGATCGCAATACTGCATCCTAGGTTCAAATCTCACGCTAACGCAAAGACATGCAGCAAGAGGATTACAGGCACTCACCTTTCCCAAACCAACTCCATCCCCAGTGAACTTGTCCAAATCCATTTAGACTCCTAAAGTTTGAGTTAGGAATGGGGATAAAATGCCTCTGTGCATCTCCCTATAATTCTCCCTATAATTCTGAAAATCCCTAGATTCAAATAGAGCATCAATATGGAGAAGATGCTCATATTCAGCTTCTTCTATCTCTAGCTTCAATACATGAATTCCTTCCTTTGGTTGTTGTAACCATTTCATACACTTATTGACACTCATATCACACATATTCTTCTCGATTCTTCTTTGTATTAGCTAATATATTGACTTTCATGTATACGGCCTTTCCGATTAAGAATATGATTTTGAACTTTGAAAAATATCATGAAAGTGAATGTGAATTGTTAGTACATCAAAGTGGATTTTGTCCTCCTCGTGAATTCGATTCTTCATGGCATGAGGAATTTGATGCCTCATACCTGTGTCTAAAACTGACACAAATATATGTTCTTGACACTGACACAAATACCCGTGTCGGTTGCACAAAAGAGGGCATCTTTAGTTTGCCTCTTTAGGCTACTTAGCTTCTAATGCAGCATCCTCTTCCATGAGGTGAGCTTGCATTTTTATGCAATCAAGCTTTCATGCTTCCTTTGCCTAAGCCTACTCTTCAGTGATTTAGCTTCTTATGTAGCATGCCTTTCTCTTCAATCTAGTTTGCTTCTTTCATTAAGCTACATAATCTTCCACCTAAGCTTAGAAAGAGATAAAGGTAAATCAAGATCATCTACCTTTATGTTTACTTTAGGAATGACCTTTATTCAAAATTCAAAATGAGTTTGAGCACTTCAAATTATGATACTATTTTTTGAACAACTATTTTGTTTTGTTGAGGAAAACCAAAAGCCAAAACATTTCATGTTCAGAGCATACTATTCATTACTCCCTCGGGAAAAGCCCAATTTAGGAGTATTTTCTTACTGGACCGGACTAGTTTACAGGCCTAAAAGTGAGGCTCAGTGCATGTGAGGATAACCAAGAGAAAGAGAGAGACTCACTCCATATAGGATACCCAAAAGCTCCAAGTCCTTACTGAGCTTCCATTGCGATGGCTCTTGGATCACACACAGTGCAACTACACCTGTTTGCAAGACCCCCATGAAAAACATAATGCCTGTGAGTGATAGCTCAGCTGGGTATTTCTTCGTCACTGGTCCCTGCCATTTCAATAATCCCGTTCAATTGAGTTATCAACCCCTAAAACAAAATTTGATTAACCCAAAATACCCAATTTAATTTACAAATCTCTCTCTCTCTCTCTCTCTCT